GTGTGTGTGTGTGTGTGTGTGTGTGTGTGTGTGTGTGTGTGTCTCACAGAGGGGTCAACAGGTCAGCTGCCTAAACACTGTTATTATGCCAAACAGGAAGCGACTCCTAGAAACCCCAGTGTGACGTGCGCCTAACATTCCTGCACGGATTAAAAGAGTGAATTCTCCCCTATAGCCTGATTAAAAATGAAAGAAATCTGGTCAGTCTGTTCTTTTRCCCCCTTTAAGGTTATTAATGCATTCACAGCACCCCCCTCCTTCCTTGTTCACGCGCACGCGCACGTTTATCTGCTTTGAACCTTTAAATAATTGATGTTGCCWCAGTGAATACCTGATGTACAGTGGAGTCTCTGTCAGATGTGTAATAAATGTGGTGTTACTGGGACAAGCAGCAGCTGGAATAATAAGCATTGTTTTATTGATTGCAAAAAAACAACTGCAATTTCATTTGTGGAAATGTTTGATTTCGCWGTGGAAATAAGAGCAATCCGTCTGTAATAATGAAGAATTAGTTTCTCCCAGAAGCTGACTGAGCTGTTTCTTGGTTCAGCTTTTTTTTTTTTTCAAACAGTAAATCCGGGAAGTTGTTTTCTCTTGTGTATTAGAGAGGGATAATGGAAGCTAAAGCACACCGAGGTACAAAATGTTTTACATTCCTCTTTAACAAGAAGACATGTCACTATTTAACCTGGTGTGAACTTTATGATAAATGCTTTTCATTTCTTCTGGCCTGCTTTTAACAGCTCAGGAACCTAATTGTGTTTGCAACGATGAAAGAAATGGTTCTAATAGTCAAACAAGAAGCAAAAGGTTAAATAAAGTTCATCAGACAAAAGCAAAACATTTTATAAGTTGGTTATTTTTGGCTTATTTTTAAATTAATCTTGCCGTGTATTTTCTTTCACCTAATTTGACGTTTTTTTGCACTTTCTGCACTAAAAACTGCTGGGTTATTCTGATAACTCAGCCGGGTTTTAGCTTTTGGGTCACAGGTTGGGTTAGCAACTTTTGGGTCAAAAAGTTTGTATTGACTCAGAAAAGAGCCGTTTCATTCTTCAATGTCCATCATTTCAAGACAAACGTTGACCAAATCTGACCTGACTTGACCTCTGCTTTAGGATTTAATACAAAGACAGGAAAATTTGTAAGAATGTTTACTTTGTTGGCTTTATTAATAGCTTTAGTTTGCATTGAACTGTGAGTTTTTTTTTAATAATTCGTGGGCATTGGTTAGTTGATGCAAAATATAGTTAGCCATAGGGGTGTAAGAAAATATTGATACACTGAAATATCGCGATATTTC